TCCCAACTTGGACAAAGTGTGAATTTATATATAATTAAATTGAGTTTTTATTATAAATCTCTAAAATTTATATATATATAACTTATTTTAGATTTGTATTATCTTTAAAACTAGCTTGTATTTTTTTATAATACAAATGTTTAAACTTCCAAATTTAGTTAGTAATACCAAACAACATTATAACAAAATATTTTTTTTTAAAAAACTTCTATATTTAATTGGTGCTATCTAGCTTATATACAAAGATAGTTGCTATAACACAGACAAAATTTTTGATTATTTTACATCTAGAAAGAATTAAACTCTTGTTTACCACCTGGGGTTCTAATCTACTTTTGTATACTTTAACTGCTATACTATATTACTAAACTTTATCAAACTATTTGTTAAAAAACCAAGTAGTAAAATAGAAATTATTAATATTTTGATAATAAATTTTGTTAAATAGTATAAAAGAAGTGTTATTTATTATTTGATTTTTTGTAAATAGTAAACTCTCCCCTCTTTTCAAATGATTATAATTATATATAAAAATATACATGTGATTTATTAACTTGATATTTTGGCACCCACCTTCCTGCTAAAAAAATTAAACACTTTTCTAAATATATAAAGCTCTGGCTAATATAATTTATAGCTATATTTTAAAATATCAATTACTGGTTTAAACACTTGTTTTTATTTGTAATATAATGATTTATAGCTTATACTTATGTTGAATACAAAACTGTTTACTCTTATTACCAATAAGCTTAAATTTTGAATATGTATTATTAAAAAATTTTAAATTTTAAAAAAATAGATTATAAATAAAATTTATAACTAATTTTCAAACAAACTTGTTTAAAAACTTATAAAATTAAAAGACAAATTATATAGCAAAAATAAAAACTCAAAATATTACAGATAATGCTATACTATTAAAGTAAATACAATATTAATTGCAATTATTATAAAACACAACTACAGTATATAGTGTATAATATCTATAATAAATTTTTATTATATTTTTAATATCTTTCTAAGTTTGTATATAAAACTTTTAATACAAATTTTTTATATTAGAATTAAAGTTAAGGTTTGAAAACGTAAACATTTTTACTTGAGATAATATAGTAAAAATCATGAAATTGCAAAATTTTGTTTAAGCAGCTTAGCAATTTATAATCTGAGAAAATATATATTTACATAATATAAATATTATTAACCATTGACTTTCTTACTCAAACATTGATTAGGTAATCGAATGTTAATGCTAAATTTCTAAACCATAAAATATTATAAAGGACTAACCAAGCCTGAGTTTTTTGGCTGCCTTTCTGATACATAATTCAGTATTATGGTAAGATTAACTATATTAGATAACGATCTACATCAATAATGCAACCCTAACTGATACTTAATAGAAGAAGTGTAGCAATAATTAGCTATATACATATCAATATTAATAAAGACAGTTAATTAATAACGATAAACGATAGTTTATTGGACTTAAATTAAAATCACGACTTCGACCACTATATTAAATACATAAATCTAAAATGTAAGCTGAACCTTATAAACAAACGGGTTTCACAGGTTAATTGAAAGATCTACTTAGAGCTAACCAGTTACAGATTTTTTCCAACAGGCTTAACTATTAATAGCTGGTATGAACTAGTTTAGGTTACTACCTTAAAGCACGAGTCACACACACGGTGAAAATGGGTAGGACTCATAATGTCACTTGATGAAGGATCAGAAAGAACTTGCTCAGGCGACAAATGAACTCGTTTAGTAGAGCATTGATCACATACTACTTTACCACATCGTCTATTTTTTTTTTTTTGTGCAAATTCATTAAATAAGTTAAAAACTTGCAAAATATATTTTTATAAAACCAAAATGTTCAGTACAGACCTGCAATGATGCCTTCTAGCCCATAATCTAAATTTCTTATCACAAAGACGACATTCACTTACATCCTCATCATTTTCCCATTTGAATTTGTTATGAGAAGTTAAAGTTTGTGCTTGAGCATTTGTCATATTGACACTTGTTTGAGGATGTGTTCTAGGAGATACCAAAGTGGAATGCGTTGTAAGATCAATAATAGATTCTTGAAGATTATGAGCATCTTCATCATAAAATGGTTGTTCAATTGTTTCAAAGCTTGCAGTTGATGGTGTTTCATTGTTAGTAAGCGTTGCATCTGATCTATACGAAAGAGGAGTAGGAGACAATGGCTTTGGCATATTTGGAGTCGTCTGAATATCATTGCCTTGTAGTTCTGCAACTTGTGTAAAATTGTTAATTAAGTACATGGCTTTTTGTTTCCGTTGTGCATTGTGATCAGCTAAATTAATAAGACAAAATTATTATTAATTTATATATTAACATAGATAAGAACCATTAAAAAATAAGGATAGAACCATACTCACTTCTAATGCCAGAAGATAGAATTTCGATTGCTTCTTTGTACTTTGCCAACTTATCAGCACTTGAGTGATCAACAGACTTACCTTTACTGTTGTCTGGATATTTTCTAGCAATAGCTTCGGCTTTCTCTAAATAATCCAATTCATCAATACCAATTTCAGTAAGGTTCATTTTACGTTTCATAATCCGTATCCATCTTCTTCTTCGAACCCCAACATTACTATTTGATGGTAGTGACTCTGACCAATTTGAGTCTGGTTCATCAAATTTTTTAGCATATTGCCATCCTTGTGAATCAATACGTGGATAATCAATATCAATGCACCAATTAGTAAACCATTCCCAATCACTTTGCGAATTTTTTGATGAAGTGGATGAAGATGAAGGTCCTGGTGGAAGTTGAACATCTTCCTTGGTACAGGGTTTTCCATCAGGATGAAGAGACCAAGGGCTACAACTGTCATTCTTCAGAAGGTTATTTGCTGAATATTTTGGAGGATTACGAATAGTTAAACTGAAAGCAGAAGACAAGCGTTGATTCTCATGAAGAATAACCGGTATAGCGCTGTGGAAACCATAAACATCATATGGTTGATTTGTAGCTGGTAAATTCATAAGATCATCGGGAGAAGTCGCTGTCGAAAAGAACATAATTAATAAAGTTAATAAAAATTTTATGTAAAAAATAACAATTTATATGCATACAGTTATAATTTGTATTGTATTAAAAATACAATCTAGCCAAATTATAACTTTTCAACAATGACCATTTTTTCAAAATATATTATTTACTTGATTGCAGTAATCTTTTATGTTTCCACCATTCACGTTCAGTTTTCTCCAATAATTCACAGATATATGCTTTTTGAGAAGCAGCGGCTATATCATATGCGGATTCTCCAATACAATTCTTTACAAGAGGATTTGCGTTAGCACGATTCAAAAGATATTTAACGACTGAGAGATGTCCTTTTGACGCTGCATTCACTATATTAGACGACAAAGACGTTTATTTGGTTATAACGAGTGTGCTTCAGATTTTCAACTTGGAAATTATAATCAAACATCTATATAAATTTACTTAATGGTGTATGCCCCTTGTTGCTTTTGACGTCTACATTGGCATCGGCGTTCTCTATCAAATACTTGACAATCAATAAATGACCTTGGGAGGAAGCGTTATGCAAAGCAGTCCATCCATCATTATCTTGCTGTTCAATATTTGCCGAATTCTTTATAAGCCAGGCCACAATAGACACATGTCCATTATATGAAGCTTTCAGAAGGGCAGTCTATCATAATAAAAATTAGAGTTAAATCAAAAAATATATATAAAAATATATGTATATTATTTACAGTTTTATACATACTTCACCAGTCTGGTCTTCAAGATCTATGATGGCCCCAGCTTCAGTGACCAACAATTTTACAATATCCGTATGACCACGCGAAGCGGCATAGTGTAAAGGATTTAAACCAGAAGATGAGCTTACTTCGTTCGCAAGTAAAAAGGATGAAGTAGTTTCACCAGCACCACGAGGATCTAGCAATTCTTTTACCCTGTCTATATTTCCTGTGGCAGCTGCTTCGTATATGTCCATGTCCATGTCAAAAAATTGAGGAAAGCTTGACGTGTTACCTATAGCCTGGACATTAGCAGCAGAATGAAGTATTACTTGTTTTTTATGAATGTTTCCATAATACCGATGATTTTCCCCTGGAATAGGCGGGTAAACAGATTCAGGAATTTGTATTGTTGGAGAAGCCATCTAAGTTACAAAAGAAGCTTTTGCTATTTTGTACAATATAAAAATACGTGTTGGATTTCTTTTCCTCCAATCGGAAAGTCAGTTGAACGTTTCCTTATCAGGACGAAGTTACAAATTATCGTTATGCTGGCCAATGCGTCCCGTTAACTGTGTTTGGCGCCATGTTTGCTGTGCCATGCGCGAAAAAAGAGTATGATTGGTTCTTTATTGACAAAAGACATCAGAAGTTTAGTGAATACCCAAATTATTGCATCATGATCTTAGTCACATGGTGTCTGCCGTTTATCTTATTTCCGAAACGGGCTTGAATAAAGTCAAATAAGAGTCATAAGCATTTATCCATCACGTTTTTTTTAATTTATAAAAACTATATACACGACTTTTAACGTTAAATAGTATTGTCTTTATTATTACCATCGCTAAATACCGATACAAATATTGACATCCTCAAGTAAAAGAATTAAAAATTCGCAGTCACATGATTGTGTCTCCTGATTGGTTATTTGCGGGTGAGAACCAACGAAAGTACGTGAATGTTGATCAACCAAACACAAAGCAAATGTTTAGAACACTGCAGTATATAATGCCTAATTAATATAAATAGAAAGTTTATTTATAAGTAAAAAGGTTTGTATTATCTTTTATATAATCATTCAAGTTTAAATAAAAAATTATTATCGATTGGCATTGCATATCTTTAAAAAAAGTTTGGAAAATTTACAAAATTATTAAATGAGATATAGAATAGTAAAATTAGTAAAATTACTAGAATTCTAACATAAGTTACGTAATTTTTTTCTTTAATTTTTTCAATCAATTATACTTTGCTAGGAATTCTCTATGAAAATTTTTCAATCTTTCGCAAAACCCATCAAACAATTCTTCAGGTGGTAAGAATGTACTACGAAAATGCCATGTACCATCTTCTTGACCAAATCCACTACCTGGTACAACACATACACCTGTAACATTAAGCATTTCTAAGCAATAAAATTCATCGGGTTGTTTTCCTGCCGCTTTAGCGGCTTCTATTGCGTTGACTGGAAGCCTAATTCTTGGGAACAAGTACATGGACCCCTATGAATATTAAACGCGTAGTATATAAATAAATATATAAATAAATAATATATATATATGTTGTAATAATCAAAATGTTACTATTTTAAGTTATAAATTTACCTGAGCATCTTTACATGTAACTCCTTCCAAAGAATTGAACAATTCACTTAATTTGATACTTCGTCTTCTTAAGCTTTCATATATACTACTTATTTCTTTTTGAAATAATGGATAGCTTTTATCACCACGTTTCGGTGAACGCACCATCAAATCAACCATGATTTGTCCTGGAACATTCGGACAAAGGCCAACAGATGCAACCTTATAAAGTTGATCCATAACTTGTTTGTCGATACCAGTACATTCATAGTAGCCACCTCTTCGTCCACATTCACCTATCATACCTTTTGAAACAGAATGGAAAGAAAACAATTCAAGTTGGTCATATTTACTACCCATAGATCTTAGCACTTTTTTAAAGGAATGGAAAGGACGTTCGGTGGGTTGATATATATTTGTTTGGTATACTTCATCAGCAAGAAGAACAATATGTTGTTGATGACAAAAATCAATTATTTCACGCATATTTTGTTCAGTTAAACATTGTCCTGTTGGGTTACCAGGATTAATGATAACTAGTGCACGAACGTCTAATCCTTTGTCACGTGCTTTGGAAAGGGATGAGGTTAGCTGAGAAATATCTAAACTCCAATTCTCTTCTTCATTTAAATAATACGGTACTGGCTGTGCATCAAAAAGTGATAATGTAGCGCTATAAAGAGGGTATTGCGGGATAGGTATCATAATGCCAACATTGGAATCTGCGATAATAAGTTGTAACACATTTTGTACACCCGTTGAAGCACCTTGGGTTAAAAAGATGTTATTTGGATCGGATGGGAATCCATCACGTTCTATAAATTTGATAAAAATTTTGAATGATTGATAATTAGATAATTTTCATTGATTATGCCACCAACCTTCGATGAACTTTGCGACGTCTTTCCTAATGAAAGGGATACCTTGTGAATGAGAATATGCACCGACACTTCCAATTTGTTTTAGCAACAGTTGGGCGCGTTCAATGGCATCCGAAGGAAAAAGCGCGTTCACACGATCACGATTTTCCGGTAATAAAAGATCAGGATATTCCGTTAAACAGGCAACCTAACCAATGAGGATATGAGAATCGAAACCTAACAAAATAAAAAAGGAGACCGAATCGACGAAATCGTAACAAATATAAAATACCTGACGGAAGAAAGTAATCGGTGGCTGTAGAAGTTGCTGTGGATTGCCTATATTGCAATTCACAACAGTATCGAAACCGAATCTACCAGAACCATTTCTGGCAAGCTCTTCCTTAATTTCTTCGGCACGGATTGCTAATTCACCTCGAACGGCATATTCGACATTCTTAATATGAGGATTTATTGTTTCAAAAGTAAGTATCTTGGAATATGTGGATTCTACGAGTTTAAGTCAAAAAGCATGGTCAAAGAGTAAAGGATATTTTGAAGGACAGGTGAGGTGAAGAACATTCTATTCAAAGATCATACCAATTGAAAAATAAAACACAATAACCTGGCAATAATGAGGCAAGCGAGTTCGTTGAGCAAGAGTCGCTTACTTTCCTCACTTTGCTCGAAAGATAAGTCATACGATAACTAACCTGACATGCTATTCCTTGTAAGGTTGGAAGCAAAAATGCCACTAAGTTTCGAAGGTTTTATATATGTGCGTTTTAGAAAACGAACGGATGTAGTTCGAGAACAAGCAAAGGCACGTATATAACTCAAAGTGCCTTTATAAAGTGTTTGAGACATTGCTAAAAAGTAAACGCGTTAATTGGTAAAAAACCGCCCCCATTATAATCAATATAACGTAGATCGGCCAATTGAATACATTTCGATTTCATTTTTTATAAAAACCTTTTACTAATGATGATGATGACATTAAGTCACACGATCTCACTTCTACGTATGTTACGTATAAAATTTCTGATTTGTAAATGCAATTTCTTTTTGTAATTAATATTATTCACGATATCACAATAAATTCCTAAAACGTCGTTCAAGGTGTTTGACTGTTTGATTTGCAAAAAAAAAAAGTTTTCAAAGCAAAATCCCTGAAATTGTATAAATCAGTCTGGATACTCTAGTTATAAAATTACAAATTTGGAGATTTTGCTTTGTAATTAACGTTAACGGTAAAATCCATTTGTTTTGAGCTTATGACTCATTTACATTCGGGACTATCATCGTTATAATCACGCATAATATATCGGAGTTTGTAGTTAAAAGGACAAAGATCTTCGGAATTTCGGTAATTTATTTACGAAACATACATAGTACGTAAGAAAAAAATAATCCAACTAGAGATCACAGATAGTGATATCCAAATATAAACTAGCTATAATGCGAGCATCAGATCGGTGCCACTTTATATAGAAATATTGCAGGGCTGTTAATAGAGTATTATACTCCAGAGTAATTTAGGAGTATGCCAGTGTCCAGATTGCTATAGGAATTAAATAGATTGGTTTATACTCTGGAACTATTAATACTACTCTAAATTAAAAATATAAGTACATTAAAATAAAGAATTTTATTAAGACATTCAACATTGTAGTAAATAAAGTTGTTCTAGATACCAAATTCTAAACTATAATTAGCAAGACGTTTTAAAATATATATACTATAAAATTAATCCGGAGTAACATACTCCGGGTGAAATTATAGTTTAATCTGGAGTAATAGCTTTGGTGTGGTTTGGTTTTGATAGTTACTCCTGTACTCTGGCAGAGTATACACCTCACCACTCTGGATCACTCTCAGCCCTAGTGCTGGCTTAGTTATAGATTTATACTGTTAGTATAATTTTGAAGCTTAATAAAATTCTAAATCTTATTATATAACAGTATTTAAAATTTACTTATTTTGTTTATATATACTATATATATATATGGTATCACTTAGTGCTTGGCAAAATCAAACAAAACTTTTTGAATCTATCGATTTTGCTTCAATTACAAAATCTATTTTTACTCTAATCTGACTTTTCATGATAAGTTACCACGGAGTCTAAAGTAAGATCAAATGGGGTCTTTGCCTTGAAAATGACCTTGCGGTATCATGTACCGTAAGGTCATTTTCAAGGCAAAGACCCCAAATGTCTGTTAGATTTATATATTTACTAAAAATAAAATTTTGCTTAATGCTCAATACTGTAAATTGATAGTGATAGATTCACTTTGTTATATATATAACTATATATATATATATATATATATATATATATATATCATATAATTTCAACTATACCCGTGTATGAAACACAGGTATATTAATAACTCAAAATTTTGTCTATTAAATCACTTTTCGAAACAAAAAAAATCCACATAAAATTTTAGTATAAACTATCCCTAACCCTAGCCTCTAACCTAACCTATTTTAACTTTAATTCGATTTAATTTTTTTCTTTAAATTTGTATTAACGTTAAATTTTTTTTATAAATTATACCCGTGTTTCGTACACGGGTGTAAATTTATAAATTTTCTATAATTAAAAATAATTTAAGTATACAAATTTAATTTTTTATTTTTACGTATAATATCTACGAAATTTTTAAATAACTCCTTTTTTTTTTAATTATATACAGTGTACTGTATGTATATTATATGTTACTATATAAAATGTATAAAAATTTTACAAATATAAATTATATACAGTACGTATATATTTTTTTAAAAAATTTTACAATTATATATATATGCAAAAATACCATTCTTGATGGATCGTCGGTACTGATCTTGATGGAGGTTAAAAAAAAATTTATTTGAGTACCATTCTTGATAGGATTCTAAAACGAACCCTAATCCTAATTTTTTTCATATACTTTTCTATAGTAGTATAGTACTTTAGAGGTCCTTTTTTGGAACCCTATCAAGAACGGTATGTAAATCGATTTTTTTTTTATACCTATCAAGAACAGTACCGACGATCCATCAAGAATGGTATTTTTGCTATATATATATTTTTTAAATTTTTTTGATCTATCGCTATTATCTATATAATCTGTATCAATAATCTTATTTAACGATCTATGTAATATCAACTAGCCAATAACATCAAAGATCTGTTAAATGCTATTCGAATTTTAATATAATTAGACCATTTTTGAGAACCGGACGATGATATGATTGTATCGGATTAATTTATGATCGTGCTGGTGCTCAAATATTATGATTGGTTAAAATATTGATTGCAATTGATGCTTGAACGTCTTTATCATTAGCAATTGTTTTTTTACAAATAGAAATAAAATAAAATAAAATAATGAAAACGATGGATCAAAAAACTAAGTAAACAGGATTAGGTATTCTAAGTAAAAATGTTAAAACCTTATATCTAATTTATATTATATATATTATATAAACCTTTTTTTATTTTAAAACTGTATTTTAATTTTAAATTTTATTAATAAAAATTATATACGTATACGTAGTACGACACTTCCAAATTCTGTTACTTCTTTTCCAAAATTTACTACGAATCAACAGAACACAAAAACGTGCCGTGCCTTTTTATTTGCGGCGAATATTTTTAGCATAAGTAAGAAGGTAATGATGATTTATCGACGTTGATAATGATTTTGAAGATCCATAACAATAACGATAATAATGTAAAAAGAGTGAAGTACTTGAAAAATTATTTTTTCTAATCAATCAATGAAAAATTTTGACCAATAAACGCAACTCTGATAAGAAAAGGATGTCTGGGCTTCTATCTCTTGTTGATTGGAATGATAAATACCCTTAGTCGGTTGAGCGAACTTCCACTAATAAAATTTTCTTTCTGACGTATTAAACTTTCGTTACGTGTTTTATTCATTGGAGTAATCAATACAATTGATTCGTTAAACTATTTTTTTACTAATAAAAATTTATCCTCAGATCCGTTCCTACGGGTTGATTAAGGTGCTTGAGAACACCCTTAACGTTAATAAAATTTTAAAAATAATTTTAAATATATAGATATAAATATTTACCCCCCCCCCCACACATTTGGTATACCCCCAATAAAAAGAATTTTTTTTAAAACATAGCGAAGATATCTCGACTAGTGATTTGAATCGGTTGGCCTATAATCGGTCAATCGCGGTTAACCGATTGAGGAAATTCTTAATCGGTTGACCCGGTACATCCGGTTGTGGCAGGATCGATGTATTATGAAAATGATACAAGGAAGGAGCAAAGGTTCCGAAAAGTTCCGAAAAGAAATGAATGAACATAAAAGTAAGTTCTGAAGTTAAGACAAAAATTTGAGCAAAGCCCTGAGAATTTTCGAAGATATATCTCAACCGATTGACAACCGGTTGAATAAAATAATTCGGTTCGGTTAACCGATTAAAGATTTTCTCGGTTCAAATCACTAACCTCGACAATAATCTTACCAAATTTGATGAACTTTTTTTTTATTTGAATTCTATGAATCCATAGAATTCAAATAGAAAAATGTTTATCGAATTTAATCAGGTTGTTGTCGAGATATCTTCGTTCAAAGTTTAAAAAATATTTGGCACAGCTCTTATTTTATTTTTGATTTTCTTTTAACTTTGAGTGAAGATATCTCAATAATTACCTGGCCAAATTCGATGAAATTTTTTTTTATATGAATTCTATGTATCAGTAGAATTCAAATAAAAATCGTTTAATCGAATTTGATCAGGTGGTTGTCGTTAGGCGCAACTTTTATTTTGATAGGCGTTTTGATTTTTCTCTAACTTTGAGCGGAGATATCTTGACTAAATTCGATGAAAATTTTTTTATTTGAGTTCTATGAATCCATAGAATTTAAATAAAAAATTTTTATCGAATTTGGTGAAGTGATTGTCGAGATATCTTCGCTCAAATTTAGAAAAAAACCAAAATGCCTATCAAAATAACCATAGCCGCAACAAAATTGGACCGGCAGATTCTCGATTTTAATTGGCTAAGAGCGACGATCAAAAAAATTAGGCCATAATGCTGCCCATTAAGTCGGCCGGAAATTAGTAAACAATTTTGTAATGTGGGCCAAAATTCCAAAGATCCTGGGCCGTTAGCCAATCAAAATCGAGGATCTGCCGGTCCGCGTCTAATTTTTTTTAAAACTTTGAGCGAAGATATCTTTGATCAAATTTAATTTTATTTGAATTCTAAGGATCCATAGAATTCATCTAAAAAATTTTCATCGAATTTGGCCGGGTAATTATTAAGATATTTTCACTCAAAATTAAAGGAAAATCAAACATCTATCAAAATAAGAGATGCGTTGAATATTTTTAGACTTTGAGCGAAGATATCTCGACAACCACCTGATAAAAATCGATAAATTTTTTTTTTATTTGAATTATATTAATTCATAGAATTCAAATAAAAAAGATTTCATCAAATTTGGTAAGATTATTCTTCGCTATAAGTTTTATTTTTACTGGGGGTATAAATACCAAATGTGGGGTACGAATACCAGCTATATATATACTTATACTGTATTAAGTTAATACCGTATTTTAAATTTTATTAAAAATTTAATACTAATGCTAACAATTTAAGAGATAATGTAAAAAAAAAAAATTATAATTATTATTATAATTAAACTTGTTGCAATTATAAAAAAATTGTAAACTTGATCTATTCTCTAACCTTAAACCAACCCTGACCCTAAAAATCAATCCAAAGAAATTTAAAAAAATGGATTGATAAAATTGGTCTGTTACAAGTTATATATTACAATTTTATCACAAATCGTGCGCTTTTAAATTAATTGCGTCCACGTAGTCGTCAGAATAATGTACTGTACCACAATTTTGTTTTAAACGAGTACCTGAAAAATTGAAATTTGTTTATTTAAAAAAGAGGTCTATAAATAAATTATTCCGTTGTAGTATTTATATTTAATATAATTTTAATTAGCCCTAAAATTCATAGACAAAATAACCTACGTAATCTATAAGCTCAAAGAAATCAAAATTGATACATAAAAGTAAAATTACAAAGTCTATTACAAAATGATAAAATAAATGCTTTTTTTTTTTTTTTCAAGTCAGCTTGAACATTAAATTGATTCATTCGCCAATCGTGGTTCTAACAAAGTACAAATTTCATTGGTTACAACTTCATTCGTTGTACGGACAGTCAAACGATACATCTAAATATAATAAACATTCATTAATTAACTAAACGAGTCGGTCATAAAGCTATAATTTATGTGACAATACTATGTACCTGAGCTTCAATATTAGGTTCCAATCGCATGAGACAACCAAACATCCCCCCTCCAGATGTATGCAAAACGCTAGCCCCAACAATGTTTGTAGGATTTGGATCTACTTCTTCCAATACTTCGAATTTAAAGCCTAAAATTATAGTTCGCACTCCTGAAATATTTATTGGAACATTTGAACGAAAAACAACCTGTTTTTCTCGTGGACCGGCGCCAATTTGTTTCCATCTTGCGAAGAATTCTGATCCATTTAGTTGGATAGGCTCATTAAACTTTGATAGCACAATAGGTAGTTTTAATACAATCGTATGAAGCGTCCCAGAAATAAAAGATATTCGCACAGTTGGCATGCCAGTGAACACATTTTTACACTCTATATGAAAAAGTTGTTGGGTTTGGTTGGCTTGCGAGATAATTGATGGCGGTGGTTGTGGCGAGGTAATTATTAAATCTGAGATATTTTCAATCACAGTGGTAAAAGAAGTGATGTTTGTCTGTGTTCTATTGACAAAGTACAGTGCAAGTCGGCCAATGTTACCATGGTATTCTGATTTAATACCAACTAGAATTCGGGTATCCTCGTATAGTACGCCTTCCGATGTGAATAGCAATCGAACGATAAATTTTTCTGATCCAGGTGTTACGGACCCCAAAGTTGTTGTAGACAATTGGTCTCCATTACTAATTTTAAGCCCTTCAAGTCCAATAAGGTCTGTATCATCATTACCATTCGTTTCGCTCTTTACTTTGTTATCAATAGAGTTATTCCTACTTGTTAAAGTCAATCGAGCTACATCTCGTTCTTTGTTAGCATCTTTACCACCAATAAGCCATGTTCGTTTGTCTTCAGTATCCGAGTGCTGTTGATGCAACCTAGATAGTAGTGCAGATTCACGTTCAGGGAATGGTGGCATCTCTTCACAAACTGATTGCAAAAGATCGTCATTTGGCATAGTTGCAATAGCTACATATTCAGCAGCACGCTGCTGGAGTTCAGAATCCAAAACGTGGCGGTATTGATAGAAAACTGACAAAATCTCTCCCTTAATTTCGGGAAAAAGGTTGACAAACTTAAAGTAAGTGTTTAAAAGTAACGCTCGTGTTTGAAGTGTACATAGACCAAATTTCGAATGAATGGTACGAAATTGTTCTTGAGGACTTGCTTCTGGTATATTGGCAATAAGGTGTCCGAACTCACCAAGGATATAACCACCCACTTTTACTAAATTTTCATGACATGAAGGAGACTTTAAATGAGAAAATACAGTTCTCGCGGCATATTCTTGAAGCTCTTCATTGTTAGTAACAATCTGTACTACACGATACCACACTTCTTCTCCAACATGATCACCAGCAGTACTAATTAATTGTAACATTATGTCGACGTACCATTGGTATTCTGTGGCGAATTTCTCGGTCAATATTGCAATCTTAAGAACCATCTCCTCTCGCAGGGCATAATCCGCAATATTAAGATATCGTAGTAATTCAGCAACAATGACCTTAGCATTAGTGACATCACACATGCTATATAAAAGATCAAGTCCCCGGCGTCGTACACTGATATCCTTATCTCGCAATGATAATAAAATAGTATCTTGATGCTTTTTAATTGGTTCCAACGAATCTACACATGCTGCTAAATGTGCCATAGTTTCTAAGCCCAAATATCTTACGTTAGTTTCTTTGGATATTATAAATCTTCCAAGAAGAACAGCAGCCTGATTGACAATCTGTGATTCTGTATCTAAATGAATAGCAAGATTAATAGCTTCAAATAGCACTGCATTTTGAGCATTGTTATGCTGAACATTTTTTTGTGCTTCTTGAGAATTGTTGATTATTGTCTGGAGTATAACATGCAGTTTATTTTGAATTTCACGATCATCTGATGAATAAATTCAATTAACCAGAATCGAGTAGAAATATATATATATATAAATAAAAAACATACAATTTATTATTTAAATATCCTACCAGAAGGCGGATAATACTGCAAAAGTCGAAGCAGCTTGACTTGTAGCCATGGAATAGGAACTTTATAATATACATAATCTTGTGGATATTCTTTGACAACTATAATCTATAAATTAGAAGGCATACCAATTAAGTAAATGATAAGTAACTTATATACAATCACTATATTTTATTTTCAAATGTGTCCAAACCTTTGTTAATCGGTTAACTGCCTTAGCGTAGCAACCCAAATACGCGTCCAAATTATCTTGTGCCAATGCCATTAATAGGCTCGTTACACACAATGTAACTCCCTATGAAAATTTCCGTAGTAGATAATTAATTGCGCAATTCTAAATATGTTCATGGAATCACATATATCGCTGCATTAAATAAAATACCCATCTTTATACTCTAGTGAAAATACCCGGGTATCTACTTTTTTTTTTTTTTTACTAGGGATTATACCCAAATAATTTGCACGGCATTATTCATACTACCACATATTGATTTCTGCATTACATATATAAGGCCGTACAAAATACCCCATACAATGTACCGCCTCCAAATGAGATACCCACAGATATTTATTTTTTATTGGATATTTTATATTAGACTTCGGGTCTTTTAGTCAGCGCACTACGGTATTTGACTAACTTACCAAATCAGGTTGATCCATTAGCATGATAATCCTCTCCGCCCAATCAGACGCAGGAATCACTTCGGGATGTTTTCGATACAGGCGTAAGAGAGTCAGAGCAGCTTTCTTCTTAACAAAACTTTTGGAATTACTAAATATATAAAAAAAGTATACCATTTTGAATAAGTAAGAATTGATGCTTTGACATTAGTTAAAATTACTTACGGAGATATTAAAAGGCGATGAACATCTGATGATAATGATTCAGCCATTTCTCTACCCCCAATGTTCGCAATTGCATGCAAAGCAAGACAGTTATAGATCTCGTTAAGTTCATCAAGGTCTTTTCGTATTGAATTGATAACCAAACGAGTTAGATCACTATTTTCATGCATTAGAAGAGTTACGCCGAGGTAACCCTATAAAATAAAGTCAAATAAGTGAGTAATAAATTAAAATGTAAATGAAAATAATAGAAGACAGTTTAAGGCTAACAATTTGTTTCTCGCTGTATTTATTACTGGAAATTAGATTCACCGCCTCCATGTGGCCAAAGTCAATATCCCATCCAAGTATATACATGTATAAAAGCTTGCACACATATTTTTTCTTTTGATAGCCGTTGAGATTGCCATCTATATGTGATGTTTTTTAGTAAATACTTTATATTTTAATTAGATGTTAAAGATGTTAAAAGGTTCTATTGCATAAAACAAAGCATATACATACCTTTGAATTTGGATCGGATATTAGCCATCTCTTTATTGATTCGTTTTTCTTCTAATTCTCTCACTCTACCTAAAAATTTTTATAGAAAATAATCAAAGATAATGTGCGAAACTATATTTAACTGATTACATTGTCTAGATAGGATACAGTTTCTAATATCCGCGATAAACACGGTCAAGCCTCGCATGCTACTTGCCATGTTTGCTGATTTTTGCGATCTACTGTGTATAGAGTATGAATCTAACGTTTAAGGTGTTTTAACAAGAATACTTGCTATACGTAAAACGAGGGAAATTAAACAATATACCGATATACCAACAAATTAACTTATTAGGCCAAAGTTAATTTCTTAGGTGACCGCTAATAGGCAGAGTCCCGTAAAAATTTGTACGCATATCAGTTATACTTACAAATTAATGCAAAGTTCACGTGATACATAATAATCAGGGTTGGGTCAATGACCAGACCAGTTTGACCAATTTGACCAGTTGGTCAAAGGGTTTAGTATTGATTTTTTTGGGGCTAATAACTGTCGCAGATCATAATGAAATTGGATTAAAATGAAACTGGGGACCTTGTCAATGACCAGACCAGTTTGACCAATTTGACCAGTTGGTCAAAGGGTTTAGTATTGATTTTTTGGGGGCTAATAACTGTCGCAGATTATAATGAAATTGGATTAAAATGAAACTGGGGACCTTTCTTGCTCATCTTTAAAGCTTATAAAACCCACTTATACTCTTTTATTAATCAAACTAACTCTAAACCCTAACCCTAACACTAACCCTAACCCTAAAAAATGTCCCTCAAAAAATTTTAAATTTTCTTAAAAAAATAGAAAAATTTCATTTTAATCTAATTTCATTTTAATCTGCCACAATAACTATACGGACTATGGGTAAGAAACCTCTACTCTCAACAATACTGTACTTCGGAATTAACCCTTTTTAAATTAATTTCTAAATAAAGCTTGTATTTTAAAGTTAACATTTTAACATTTTAAATATTTTTATTACAGAATTTAATAACATCGCACCCTTAATGAAAAAAGCTACCAATATCTGAGAGGAAAAGCGTTAGCAGTCATGCATTGCAAGATTTCATTGAATCCCAGTTATAATGATCTTGGATTTGAATAAGAAAAGTGTTAGCAGTTGCGCTTTACAAGAATACCATAATGGCTTCTTGGATTACTTGTGTAATAATGAATCAGAATAAGGAAAAGTATTAGCAGTACACTCTGCAAGAATACTACAATACTTCTTTGAATTTCAGTGATAATGATTTTGGATCAGAACAAGAAAAAGCGTTAGAAGTTGCACTCTGCAAGAATACTGTAATGACTTTTTAGATCCCAGTAATAATTGATAATAGTCAGAATGAGGAAAAGTGTTAGAAGTTGCACTCTGAAAGAATACTGCAATAACTTTTTGGATCCTAGTAATAATTGCTCATGGTCAGAATAAGAAAAAATATTAGCAGTACACTCTGCAAGAATATTATAATGATTTTTTAAATCCAGATAATAATAATCTTTGGATCAGAATGAGGAAAAGCATCAACAATTGCACTCTGCAAAAATACTGTAATGACTTCTTGGATCCTAGTGATAATAATCTTGAATTAGAATAAAGAAAAACATTAGCAGTACACTCCGCAAGAATACTGCAATGACTCCTTGAATCTCAGTTATAATGATCTTGGATCAGAATAAGAAAAAGCATTGGCAGTTGCACACTGCAAGGATACTGTGATGATTTCTTGGATCATGATAATAATAATCTTAGCAATATACTTAACAAAAATACTGCAATGACTTCCTCAGATTCTGATGATTATGGTCTTGAATTGGAATAAGAAAGCATTAGTAGTTGTACTCTACAAGAATAATATAATGTCTTCTTTGGATTTTAGCGATAATAACAGTTGCACTTTTCAATAATGCTACAATAACTTTTTTGATCCAGAGATAATAAACTTGGGTTAGAATAAGGAAAAGCTTATTGCAATGACTTCTTTGGATTCTCGGTAATAATGATTTTAAATCAGAATTAGGAAAAGCATTAGCAGTTGCACTCTGCAAGTTCAAACGATAAAATTATTCGACCTACTCAATTATGTTGTAAATTTATGGAGTGCTTATAGAAAATAGGAGATATAATGAAAATGTTAGATAAATTTTTATAGAGTATAGCATTCGATAACAATAATATCTGTTTATAGGCTAAAAAGATTTATTATTAGCTTTGTAGCTAATTATATTGTACTGAAAATATGCAGTATTGGTATGATACTTTTATTATTATTATTTTTATAAATCAAAATGGGAAATAATCAACTGAATTCCATTAACATTGGGAGAATTAAATAAGTGCAAATCTGCAAAAACCTGCAAAAATACAGATTTTTGCAGAATTTTTTGCAAAAAACTGCAAAATTTTTCATATATTGAAATTTTGCACAGAACTGTATTTAATTTCTGTAGCTATAGCTAATAAGTCTGAAGTTTTGTACAGATTTTCATTTAATTTATTATTTAATTTTTTTGCAAATCTGCACAGAACAGCACTAAAAAATTTCTCTCGATAAATTATTAATTGTCAAAATTGGCAGGTATGACCCAAATAAACATACTAAATTAGTTACCATTACAAATATGGAATTGGAGTTGAAACGAATGAAAATAAAGCATTTATTCATTATTAACAATCAGGCAGACATTAGTAATTCTAATGGAATGTATCAAAGTTTGTCATCATTATTATTTAAAAATTGGTGCTGAATAATTATTAGAAGTTTGTAGAAGCAATGGGACTCATTTGTTACTATTGCATAATGCAATCTATTTTTGTTAGATATCACTTTCAAATGTATCGATTATAATGTAAATCTGTGCAAATTTAATAAAATATTTTGAATATAATTTTTTTTTTTTTTTTTACAATATTATTTTGGATATATTATTGGTTTTTTTTTTATTTCTTTCAATTAAAATCTTTGGACAAATATATAGAAAAACTTCTATAAGCATACCCTCTAAATATACACATGTTCGGGCCCAAATATATATACAACCTCTATAAATCTTATAAAAGTTGGTGTGCACTTAGAGATTTTACTATATCTTAACAGTTAATAAAAACATGTTATAAAATATTGTATTTGCCAAAGTCCAAAGTATATGCAAAGATCTTTAAATCAGTGCTGATGATCTGTAATAAGTTAATTTTTCGGATAATTTTGGATATCAAGCAAGATTTTTTAACTCGAACATGCTCATGTTTTAGGTTTATTTATTTTCTACATCAGAAATTTTAACAATTTTAGGGGTTCACTAAAGTGGGGTAACTATTAAACTGACAGTCCAGGGGATTGTGCAAGTCAATTAATATCTCATAACTGCAGCTAATCAGTATGCTCCATGCCACTGCTTAATAATATACTGTATCTAATCTATTAGTTAATAAAAAAAATTTTGAGATATTGAAGTTTTATATACTTATTGTAATTACTATACTGATTTGAAGTTCTCTGTAAAAACACTATTTATAGTATAAAAAAAAACCCCATACGGCAAGCTATCTTTTAAATTGTTTTGCAGCCAAATTTGCCTACAAACTTTTTTAAATTTTAAAATTTTTTAATAAAATTTTAAATATTGATTTTAGCTATATCTTTTCTAAGTAAAATA